GAAGGATGGCACAAGCAGAGGGAAGCTCTCTGATTGCCGAGTTTCCTTTGCAAATGGGGTAACATTTGGTGACATTATTGGTTCATTGCTGTCCTGAGCCCCCAGTCCTCTGCCTTCCAGGGCCCAAGTCCTCCGAACAGCGCGTGCTCGGGGAGGTCAGCGTGTTTATTCTGGGGAGTAGAGCCCATGAGGGTCAACCAGATGGCTAAACTCTCAGAGCCTTCCAAACCTGAGTTTTCTGGAGGTGAATACTGGGGTGGTGGTGGTGGGGCTTTGTTCAGCATTACGCTTTGCTTGGTAGATCAAGAAGACAGCGAGTTCTTTGGGGAGCTGATGAGGTCTGGGGTCTTATTGAGCTCTGCTGCTCCTGCTCCTTCCCAAGAAGACCCCACTGGCTGGGAGGTCTCCGCCAGGCACAGAGGGAACCTGAGACAGGTCCAGCTTGCCCAGGGCTTGTGCTCCTCCCCCAGGCCAGGTTCTCCTACTTCTGGGAGGAAGAGGAGAGTGCTATCAATTGCAGTTGTGACCAAAGGATTTGAGGGGCTCCTCAGCTTCTCACCCCTTGTCTTCCACACTCAGCGGATCAGGCAGCCCTCACTTAGGTCCTTGATGTGGGCCCTGGGGTGCAGGCACGAGAGCTCAGAGTCAGGTGGGGATGGGCACAGGGCCAGCAGGTACCAGTACTGTGGCAGAGGAGGCTCAGCCCTCAGTGGAAGGCACACTCCGTACCTATAGGCAGGTGTGTTTGAGAGGGATGAGAGAGCCAGGTGTGGTGGTGCACACCGGTCATACCAGCACTCTAGGAGGCTGAGGCAGGAGAATTGCAAATCTGAGACCCATCTGGGCAACTCAGTGCTTCAGTGAGACCCTGTCTTAAAACACGAAATAAAAAAAATGGGCTGGGGGTGTAGCTCTGTGTGAAGGTGCTGGGTTCGGTCTCCAGGACCGCAAAAGGTGGAGGTGAGACAGGGAGCCAGGCAGACAGAAGGAAGCCAAGGGGAGGGAGAGGGAAGAGAGAGGAGGAGGCAGAGGGGAGGTGAAGCCCAGGCGCAGATGAGACTCTGAAGCCCCTAGGCGGCTCCTGAAGGTGGACAGCGGTACGCACACTGAGCGCTTCCTAAGCATCCACCATGGCTTCTGGCTCCACTCCCCCAGGACGTGGCTGCCATTTCTGCACACGGAGAAACAGAGGCTCAGACAAGTGAGGAGTTTGCGGGTCTCCGGCACTGAGTAGGGTGGAGCTGGCTGCAGCCCGGGCCTCCAACCCCCGTCTCTGCTTCTAGCCATGTCCGCAACCTTCCCCTGCTCAGGCCGTCCAGGGAGCCGGTGAACGGAGGGCCGGAAAGTCAGTGGGGGCAGCCGGGAGCCTGAGAACGGAGCAGAGGAGGTTCTTGGCTTCCATTCCCAGCGAAGGGTCCTCTTGACCTCGTCTTGACCTTGTAGGTTGCAGAAAGCGGGCAGGATGGGCAGCTCCCTCCCAGGCCAGAATGCAGCCCCTTTGGCGGGGCAGCCCCGGGCTGGGTGCTTCTGTCGGGGGCATTCCCAGGGCCTCCCTTCCTTCTGGGAAGAAGCTGTGGCCGGGGCTGCCCTGGCTGACAGCTTCCTTCCCAGAACACTGTCCCCGGGGGGCCGCTGCTCATTCCTGTCTCACTAGATGAGATGATTGTGTCCCACAGAGCTCAGATTTCTGCCTGCGACTGGGCTGCCGCCCCAGCCAGGAGCATGGAAGTCTCAGCCCTAGGGGAGGAGCAGGAAGCCTGAGGGGTCTCCACCCTGGCGGGAGACCTGGGCAGGTACCCAGCAGGTCTAGGAAGAACCAGCCTCCGAGGGAGAGGGTCCTGGCCAGCAGGAGGGTGGCAGGAGACAGGCGCTCTTTGTCTCCTGGGTCTTTGTGAATTGGGCAACATTTGGCAACCAGACACATTGGGTCACAAAGCCACTGTTTTCTGCCTGTTGCCCTGCAGCTGTGCTTCCTCCTGGTGGGGCCCCTACCCCTGCACCCACAGGAAATGCCCTAGGGCCTTCAGCTCCCCTAGAGGGGCCAACATAGGTCACCGGCATCCTCTGGAAATCAGTGTCTCAGGCAGGCTGCTAGAGAAGCAGAGAGCTCTCCATCCACCTCTTCCTCCTTCAGTCCCTCTGCCAGCAAAGCACTGATCAGTACCAGGACACCAAGAGATCCCGGGGTGACCTCCAAGGCCTGGCCCTCGCCAGCTGAGTGCCTGAGGGCGCACTGCTCCCCGAGTCCCCTCATCTGGACATCTCAGCCCTGTGTCCTGGGGCGTGGACGGCGCTGGGCAGTGGCTGGTTCATGGAGAGTCCGCCCTTGCTGGTCCCCTTCCTGCTCAGGTCCGTGAGGGCCAAGTTCACGTCCAGCTCTCAGTGCCCCGGCCCTGGGGGAGGGAAGACACCTGGCTGGGGAACCCATGGGAGACTTGGGGTACACGGTTCTGTCTGTCTGTGTCTCTGACCACGGGGCTCTCGGTTCACCTATGAGAACCTATGGGGACTGGGAGTGTCCTTCCACAGTGGTGACCTCGACAGCTCTGGAGTTAAAAATGCTGCCCCTGTGCCGAGATTGTCTTGTCTTTGTGCTAGGGATGGCGAGCTGTGGAAACTCGTGCTACCCACAGTGATAATGCAGGCTGGGCCGTGGCACACTGGATCTCCAGGCAACAGTGCCGAGTGTCGGCACTGGCTGACTTCTGGGATAACCACAGACACCCCACTCATTTCAGGGTGCACCACTGGTTAACTTCCTACAAAATCCCTAAAAGTTTACTAAGTGGCTCTCTTCCAAGCTAACAACCTCTTACCCGTGGTAGGAACAGGAAGGCAGGCCTGGGACCCCGTCAGCCAGGCTGGGTAGGGGCTCGGGAGGTCTCTTGTTTTCATTCGTCCCCTCTGGAGCTGGTTCTGCCCAGACCCGTTCCCGTCTCTCCTCATGGGACCTGAAGCTAGATGACTTCTAGGGGCCCGGACGGGGCTCCCAGTCTGTGGGAGCCCAGCTGGGTGGGCAGCTACGACCCTGCTGAAGGGCTCAGACTTGCTACTCCACAAAGGTCCAGGGTGCAAGGTGTGAGGGTACCAGCCCCCACAGCCGCGTTACACACCAGACCTCTCCTCTCCACTCCTTGTATTCACACCCTGGCTCGGGGTTTAGGAACCTGCCTTTCACTTCCCTGCAGGAGCCCCCAATGGGGCCCAGCTCCTGGCACACTGGAGACGCCCATGGATCCGGGTGGCGTGAATGGGTGCGTGGCGGAGCCCCTGTGCCCAGCCATCGACTGTCCTCAGACGCTCAAGCTTGCAAACAGGCCCTTCGTCCCCTCCCAGCCCCTCTCTTCCTCACTCACCTGTTCCTTCCCCTGGTTTTGGGCTTTGGGAGCCTGGTACGCGCCCCAGCCGGCTGCGGAGCTCTTTGGGTGCCTCCGTGGCTGTTTTGGGGTCCGATGGAAGGCGGGGGGAAGCTGGGAGGAGGTGCAGCCTGGGGTGATGCATTTCAGGGACAGACATCTAGGTGCCTGGGACCCGAGAGAGGAGCCGTCCGAGGCAGACAGACACACGGCCCGGGGCACTGTGACCTTCTGTTGTCCCTGGTGCTTGGGTCCTGGGCACCAGGTTCATGTCCCCAAGCTGTCAGGGTCCCGGCCTCCCTTCAGGTTCCCCTGCTGGGGGCCCTATGTTCTGTGTCCTCGCAGGGGTCCTGGGGTCCTGACCTCCCAGCGCATCCTGTTTGTAATTTGCGCTCCAGTAGGGACGTGGGTGGTGACTTTTCTTCACTCTTTTCCAATCACAAAAGGCCAGCTTAGTTGCTAACTCAGGGACTGTACCAAGGTGCTGTAGCACTCCTGAGAGTTAGTCAATGTTGTCTTTCTTCACCATTTTTGAAATGGCTGATTTCAATTATCGATGGGAGCAATTTTTAACATTGCGATATCTTGTTTCCAAACAACAAGGGGCCCTGGACCCGTTACCCCACCCATCGGAGATTCCAGCTCCAAGCCCCGGACCCCACTCTTGTGCCGGACAAGCAGGACCCCGACAGTTCCTTGTGCCCTGGCAGGACCACGCCAGGGTAGAGAGGGAGGCCTCCAGGGCTGGGCGCTTCTCCAGGGCACGGTGCCTGCGGGTGCCTACCTGTGCCAGCACCCACTCCCTGGGTTTTACTTGCCCGCCCCATGCTCCAGGAAACACCTGACCACCCAGTGGTCCAGGCAAACAGCCAGGACCAGTCTTTCAGGACAAGCCGATCTCTCAGGTGACCTCGACTTCCCTGAGGGCTGGAACCTCCCTGCCTCACCTGCTGACTCTGGGCCAAGCTCCTACCTGCAGGGGCAGAGTGGCCGTGCCCACGAGGTCCCTGAGTGTCCAGGGCACGCATGGAGGGCCACAGGTAGGCGACTTCCAGTCAGTTACCAGCACGCAGTGAGCGGGGTGGGAAGGCTTTGGGCCCCAGCCCCCCAAATCATGGGACGGTGCTGACAGACCTGACCTTAGAAGCTGAAACCAGCTTTGCAATGAAAAAGGGCTTCGCCTGATGGGATGTGTGTTAAAGTGAGGATGCACTTCCATCTCCTGTCTCCTGTCACTACTAAAAGAAAAAGAAAAAGAGAGAGAGGGAGGGGGGAAGAAAAGAGAGAAAGAAGAGAGAGAAAGGACAAAGAAAGGAACAAAGCAGTAGGGCATCTCCCCTTGGCAGGTGGGGTGCGCAGTCCCCTCTGAGGCCCACCCTGTTCTGGGAGCTGAGTGTGAATCTCAGCAGGGCTGGGAGGGCCCGCTCCTTGGGACCCCGCGTTCCTCCACGTGGCTGCCTGCCGTCCTCAGGTGGACCCCTGTACACACCTCCTGCCGAGGAGGCCCAGCTCACTGTCCCAGGAAACCCCCGCTCTGCCCCACCTCCAGGCACCAGGCGAGAGGGGAGGGGACAGATGGGAGAGCACTGCAGTGGGGCAACGGGGCGGGGCCAGCCTGCCAGTCCTCCGAGGATAAAGGGGCACAGGGCAGCACCAGGGCAGAGCCCTGGCTGGCTGGGTCACTGTCACAGAAAGCACCATGAGGCTCCTCCTGGCTGCCCTGCTGTCCCTGTCCCTCGGGGATCTTGGTGAGTGCTTTGCATCCAGCCAAGCAGGGACAGGTGCAGGGATGAGGGGCAGGAACGGGGCTCCCCTGAGCCACGTGGGCCACATCTAGGTCAGGTGGAGCTTCCCCTGGGCCTCCTGGGAGGCCTCTGCTGCCCCTGTGGCCTCCCAGGACTTCTGTCACCTATCCTAGTTACACAGGTTCAGAGAGGGTGAGCAGCTTTCTAAAGACACACAGCATCCTAGTTGAAGACCACAGGATCCTAGTTCCTTCAAGGACCGTGTGACCACTCTGGCAAGACAAAGTCTGTCTGAGCCTTGCTTTCCTCACTTAGAAACCCTGGGGCTGGGAGGAGGCAGAGGCTGGCCGCTCCTGCCAGGGCAGAGGGAAGTGGGCCTCTTGTGCCCTGGGTGTGAGAGGGAAATGACTGCTTTCCCCTTTGAGATGTGCCTAGGATAGAAGAGACACAACTGGAGGGGCCAGAGAGCAGGGTCTGGACCCCTGCTCCGCACCAGGTCTGGGGTAACTTCCGGGCTCAGGGTGCTCCACAGGGAGGCGTCAGTGGATGCCGTGCATGGGTGCTTCGGCAGGCCTGAGGGAGGCTCGGAGGCGGAACAGGGGCCCAGGAGGTGGGTGGGGCCTGGCCAGCGCGGTGCCCCTGCCCCTGCCCAGTGCTGTTCCTCCCTCCTGTTCTAGGGCGTCCCCTCGGGGTGGGAATCCTGGAGGAGGAAGGGATCAGAGAGGTTAGAGAGTGCTGGTGTCCTTCCCCCCAAGCCTGGGGAGCATGAGCTGATCCCTGGCCCAGCCCTCCTGACCCCTCGGACACCGGAGAGGTGGTCTGTACCCCTGTGGGAATGCCGCACTCCCCTGGGACTCCTGCTCTGGTCCCCAAGGGTGGTGTCCAGGCCGGTGGGGTCAGGCCGGCTGGATCCAGGTCCTGTGGGCAATGGGGGTGCTTTGGAGGAGGCCCGGGAGGGGCCCACGGTTGCCACCAGGCCAGTCCTGTGCCAGGGTCCTCCCTAGGCCTGGCCTGTCTGTGCCGGGGAGGACCGAGAAGAAAGGAGCTCTGTCCTCTGCTTCCGGCCGGCTGGCCCCATGCTGGGCTCGAGGCCTGGGCTTCCCTCCGGACTCGTTTGTTCTCTGGCTGATCCGTGCCGCCTCCATGCCCGGTGATGGCCCCACGCAGGCCGTCCACTCCCTTATGCCTTCTTTGCCCAGTTGTTGGACATTTAGGTTATTTCCAGTATGTTGCTCTTCTGAATAATGCTGCTCTAAATGTTCATGCAGGAGTCCGTATGTCCGAGGCAGCTGGTGGAACCATTGAGCTAAATCTCCGGCATCCTCCCACGTGTTTTTATTTCTAGAAGCTCAGTTGCTGAGCCGTAGGGTTGGTCAGTGTATAACATTTTGGGACGCTGCCAACTTCCACCAGTTTTCCATCAGTTTACACTCCGAGCAGTGTGGGAAGGTTTCCATTTTCCCACACCCTCCCCAAAGTCACTGTGAGCTAAAGTGACAGTCTTCAGCCTTAGGCTTTTCGGTGCTTGTATGCAAAGACACATGGATTTTTGCCTCCTGATCTGGTGCCCCTGACGCCGTGGCACATCCTCACAGCTCCGAAGATGCTTTGCCAGGGTTCTTTCCCCGCCTCCCTGCTGTGTGCTGTGCCTGGCCCTGTGCTGGGTCAGACAGGAGGTTGGGCACCCGTGCGTTGCTCCCGCATGCGTGGGAAGAAAGCGTTCTGTCTTTTGCCGTTTGATTGCCCTGCACTGTAGTCTTTCCATAGATGCCACCTGCCAGGCATCCAGGTGAGCAAACCTGCCCCAACTTCGGCCCAGCTGCATATTCTAGCAGCAAATCGGGCTGACCCAGAGGGCCTGTTTTTCTGGGCAGGCAGACCGGCTTGCCCCAGCCTCCACTCCGGCACCCGGCGAAGTCAGCCGTTTCCCTGGCTCCTCCGCGTGCCCTGGGAGGTGGTTAGACGCACAACTGGGAGACACTTGAGGCTGGATTTGCACCCACAGCCTCCCTAAGATCCAAGCAGCAACCCCTCCTCTGCCCACCTCCCAGATTCAAATGGGACAGAGCGGGTGGAAACACTCCCTCCGCCGGTCTGAGGGCCGGATCAGCGTCACTTTCTTAGGAGCGGGAATTAAGTCCAAGTTACAGGAAGGAAAAGAATCCAGAGGCCGTGCCACCCTTAGTTTATTAAAACCTGAAAATCCCCAGCCAGGGCAGGGCCCCTCCCGTCTAGTGGAGGCCTCTGTGAGGACAATGGCTGGGCGGAGCAGCCGTGGGGTGCAGAGCACGGGGGTGGGGTGGGGCGGCGGGAGCACGGCGCTGGGAGGCTGCTGGGGGCGAGGTGGTCCCTCCCGGACGTCCCGGAGACCTAAGCCCGGCCTCTCTGTCCCAGGGCTGGGCCGGGCGCCCCCCAAGGAGAACGTGCGATGGTGTGCCATCTCCCAAGACGAGGTGACCAAGTGCTTCCGGCTGCAGAGGAATATGAAGAAAGCGCGGGGCCCTCCAGTCTCCTGCATCAGGAGAGGCTCCTACCGTGACTGTCTCCAGGCCATTACGGTGAGTCTTGGCCAGAAGGGTGGGGACCAGGGTGCATGGGGTGCCGGGAAAGGAGTGGAGTGCAGTGGAGTCGAGCTGCCCCTTGTCCCTCTGCCGACATCACGGTCACATTAAAACCTCTGAGCCGCTGTATTTAATAAGAACTTAAGCAAGCGCGAAGTAAGGCTAGGGGAGGAGCACCCAGAACAGCTCTAAGCACGAACAGCTGCCGCGGCCTGCGGGCCCCTCCGAAGCCCCTCCCGGCCGTGCAGCCTCTCGGAGGCCCGACGCCCACTTGCTGGGCTCAGGTGGTTTCCTGCGGCTGACCGACCCCTCCTCCTCCAGGCCAGCAAGGCC